GGTACAGAACCCCAAGGTCATGCCTTTAGGACACACCTAGACAGACCCTGAAATGTGTTTAATAATCCCCTACGTGTCCCCCAAGCCACTCACGTTTACAACCTTCACATTTGTGAAGAGAATGGTACAGTAAATATTGGAAACTCCAGTTAGGTTGGAGTCAGATGTAGAAAACACATTTTGATTTTGTTCATTAGAAAGTATCCTTTAAAAAGCTGACAGAATGAAATTAAAGGACAATAGGCCATTTAATATATAGTTTAGCTAGTAAACAGTAGTGGTTGGTTTGTGTGAGCATCAGAACAATAGGGAGGAGAAGAGAAGAATCACACAAGACGTATCTCATTTGACTGAATCCGCACTAGGATCAGCTTAAACAGCCTCTATGCATGCAGTGAAAGGCAGAATCCCCCTGACATAGTACGCAGTGACGAGTGGGGTACAGTCACTGAGGGAGGTCCTCACCGAACAGACTCAGCGGTACAGATGGCTGAGTAGTGACCCAAGACGTCACACCCAAGAGAAAATATTCTAGGATCCAAGAATAACAGTGCAATACCTCGGTACTGTGAAGAATGAAATCTCTTCTTTGACTTAAAATATAATACATTTGCACAAACCTATTGCTTGAACAAGATTTCACGCCTCTATCTTGTACTCCGAATAACTACTGTGAAGATTATATGCAATATAGCAGCTATTGTAACTCTCCTACTAACCTTATTGAAATGGTTTTATTGTTATGTTTTTTTTTTTCTTTAAAATAAGATTATATATATAAAGAAAAATTATATATTATATATATATATAAAATTACATTTAGGGTAATATCACAACAATAGAAGCAGATTCATTTAAACATCTCATTTAACAGTGATACATCGGGTTTGGTGACTCAGGCCTGTAATCCAGCCATGCCAGTAGCTGAGACAGAAGGATTATGAAAGCTTGACAGTTTAGTAAGACAATTCTCAATGTAAAAAATTACTAAACATGCTGTGGGTATAAATAAGTGGTAGAATACACCCAGGTTTGATACTTAGCACTGCAAAATAAATTTAGAGATTATAAGAGGATATCAAAAACTCTTCCATATTCACAAACTCAGTATTTGATGACTTCAACTGGACAGTGAAGAGATGGAGTCAAGGAAAATTTTCCTAACTGTAAAATATATTTTACAGTTAAAATAGTTTGAAAGTTTCTAACATGTTTAAAATTCAGCAAATGATGTCCTGCTAAGTGAATTACCACGGAGGAGACCAAAATCATATAGCTGAGGGGAAAATATTGTGCAGAGTAAGTCATTCACTACCATGTCATAAAGCTTTATCTTAAAGATCAATAAATTTACACTCTGACTCACTATGCGTACCTACATTTATGGTCCACCAACTGCAAATTGCATGGGAAGGGAAATAGCAGATAGAGCTTACTTCCAATTAAAGGGACAAATTAATAGGTTGAAAATCATGACTTATTGAAAGAGGAAGGGTAGAGATTTTGAACTTATGACCTATGATTTTATGGTCAAGTGACATAAAGACTGTTATGAATATATAAATTTAGTTGTACTTTCTTACAATATTCATTGGGAAATCCACACATGCTTTAATTTCAGAAATACAGTTATATTTTTAATATTTATTAGAAATTCAAGATTAACAGGAGCCACTAGTTGATTATGTATACACATGCAGACCTAGGAACACATAGACACACATACGTAAACTAGGCAGTGTATATATACTATTTCAAACACTCCAAATTTAAATTAGCTATAAACCAAAAGCTATCCTAAACTAATTAAAGAGACAATCACTTTATTGGATGTAAGAGGAACAATTTATTAGCAAGAAGGCCCATAAATTACATAGACTAAGCATAAAATTCATTTATTGAGATAACAATTCCAATAACATGCTAATATTCATACTTTTGAAGGACACAAGTTAGTGACGGTTACTACATTAATCAGGCTGTTTAATCAGGACTCCCTCTTGTACTGAGGCTTTCCCCTTAATCCATCCATCATTGAATTCTTCCCAAGCCTCACTTCCTTCAAGCCTTGGAAATCTGTTTACTACCTTGACATGTCATTCTGGTCACAATATGTCATGTGAAGGACTTGCAGCAAGGGCAGGCACTGTTGCCTGGTTACTTTGAATTTCTGTGTTCCCATTATGAATTTGTGCCTATTTAGCACGATCTTCTCCAGGTACACCCCTGTTATAACATATGGATCATTTTTAATGCTCAACAAAGTCCTATTTTGTATATACTTATCCATTCCTCCAGAAATGGCTATTTAGATTGTTTCAGCACGTTGGTGATTTTGAATTATGCTGCAATGAGCATGACAGTATTACTACTTCTTTGAGATGACCTCATCAGTACTTGGAATAAATACTCACAGGTGGCATTGCTGGAGTGTGGAATACATACCCACATGCCCACATGCAGAAAGCCACAGTTGATTACAAAGGTCTCTGGTAATTAGTGCACAATCTCCAGGCATTTCATTAGGATCTCAGATGCTCTAGGGATAATGAAAAATATTTTTGGCTTCTCCTTAGGGAGGGTATGAAAAGTTTAAAAATGCTTTTAGTGATCTCAAATCTCTTTGATAAAAACACACTGGAAAATCAAAAAAGAGGTTTAACTGAAGGTAAGAAAGACCAATGATTTCATGTGGTGCCTTACATTACCAATGTCTACAGATACGCTCGGTTTCCTATGATTTTGTCATCTCATAGAAGCTGCCATTTTTGATTCAGTTTCTGAGCCATTCACTACTCCTTAATGTTCAAGAAGTACTGGGAACGCTATTTTATTTCTTCCTTATAAAATTTTAGTTGCGCCTCCATCAAAATGGAAAATATTCATTGTCATTTTTGAAACACACATGTGAGTGTGAATTTCTTAGAAAATAACCAGATAAAATCACATCTAATGGATGCCAAAATTGAGGAAATAAAACATAAATAAAAATAAGTGCTTTGCTAAAACTCAGAATTCATATAGAAGGGATTTAGTCCCTCATTTTGATATTCTTCTGATCTTTAATTATTTTTGACTCCAGGCTTTTTTGTGATATTCTATAAAACAATTTAATAGACAATGTTTATGTAAATAAATATATAAGTGAAATTCATGACTGAGGTCTTGAAGAGAAAATGGAATTCCTCACAATGATATTTTGAAAAAACTATTATTTTAGAATCATGTGATTCTTAATAGTCAGTTCTAGGTTAATGATGCAATGTCCATTCTGCAGTGGGGGATGATTATCCGTTTATCTTTTCTACTTTCAGGAAAATTGATGCCACACACGTTTTAATTTTTAAATTTTTCATGGTTATCAAACAAACTATAGCAAAATAAAATAGTTTAGACTGTTTCCTACTGCAACTACTGCAGATATTTCTGTACGATTGTAATTCAATACATTACACACGGATGTCTGCCGGGGGAGGGGAGGATACAGGTAATCACAACTCTGTAAGCAATGTTTTAATTGAGTGACGTGCAATATACAGGTAAACAATTTATACAAAGTGTTGTAAAGTCATATGATTTTGTTTGTAACATTGATGGAGAAATCTGCCACACAATTTTCACTCTAAAGTATATCATTCTTCCCTCCTTCCCTCCCTCCCTCCATCTTTCCTTCCTTCCTTGGAATCTTCCTGATTCAGCTCCCAGAGTTCTGGGATTACAGCTTGCTCTACCACTCCTGGCTCACAGTAACTTTCAAAATGCTATTAAATAATTATAAACAAATATCATAAATAGGCGATAAATAATCTAAATCAATATACTCTGTCTAGTTTTAATTTTAGAGTGGGTGTAGGTGGTAGAAATGAAGGTTTATTTTCTTGTATCACATTTTATTGCTTTATTTCCCAACTATTTGCACATACAGAAATGCAAGAAAATCTATCACAAGTAAGTTACTGTCGCTATAAAAAAATAGGTATGTACACGAGTTTAGAGACTGTATCCAGGCAGCGAAGACACACTCAACTCTCCACTCCTTCTTCACACTTCCCCAAAGCCCTGCAGAGACGCTGTATATGAGAATACAAGTTATTTGCTCAAGGTAAATTTCATAGATGTCAAATTATAACAGAGACTACACGTACACACCTGTATCCTCTTGTTTATTTCTGCACATAAAGACAATTTCCAGTGCAAAAAATTGCAGTTTTCTTACCCATATATTTTTAAAATTTCTACTATATGTTTCAATAATTTCAGCTATATTAATTTTTGCTATAAGAATTTTATAAGTTGATGTTTTCACAGAGCAGGATGCGTGAAGTTTTTATATTTATTGTTATTAATTCTTATCATTTAATTCTATTTGTATTTACCATATATATGAAGTCATATCATGAATGTGATTACTGAATGCCATTTTGTGATTGTAGTGAAATAAATGCAATACTAAAACTACTTTTAAAAATAGCACAAAATGATCCATTTATCTAGAACCCAGGTGTCCTAAAATGCTTACAATTTTCATAATTTTTGTTTGTATATATGAATCACTTATCTCTCTATCTCTGTATCTATCTATCTATCCATCCATCTAATCTACCTGTCACCTGTCTATCTATTAGTGTTTCTCTAAACTACAAATGTTGATATTTTGGTCTGCATATTGTTTTAGGCTAAGTGTTTCATACATTGAGATGTTTATCAAATGTACACTAATCATTAAATTCCAAGGATCATTCATTTCTCAGCTGGCACAGCCAAAATATCTATACACAGTGAATAGTATTTTTTGTGTGTATTGTACCTTTGCTGAGAATCATATTTCTAAATATGCCTCAGAGTAAGTGCATAACATATTTGAAAATGTAGGTTTTCAAATACTTAAGTATGTCTTATTTATATTAAATTCACATAATAATGTCCTCCAGGTGATAATAGTAAAATTTTATTGACTAAGCTTGTGTAACTATTGAGATTAGGTCTTCTGATCACCCTGTATGGAGGAGCACAACCTCACCGCGGTGACCGAATTCATTCTGCTGGGCATCACAGACTGTCCCGAGCTGCAGGCTCCACTGTTTGTGCTGTTCCTCGTCGTCTACCTGACCTCACTGGTGGGCAACTTGGGCATGATCGTGCTCACCCAGGTGGACTCTGGGCTGAAAACACCCATGTACTTTTTCCTCAGACACCTGGCTGTCACTGATCTTGGTTGCTCTACGGCTGTGGGACCCAAAATGCTGGCTAATTTTGTTGTGGCCCAAAATACAATCTCTTATTATTCCTGTGCTCTGCAGCTGGCTTTCCTATTTCTATTTGTTGGTAGTGAACTTTTTATTCTGTCAGCAATGTTCTATAACTGCTACATGGCCATTTGTAACCCACTTCTGTACACTGTCATTATGTCACAGAGAGTATGTTGGGTGCTAGTGGCCATCCCCTATGCCTACAATACATTTGTGTCTCTTCTGATTACCACAAAGATTTTTACCTGCCCCTTCTGTGGCCACAATATCACTCATTTCTACTGTGACAGTCTCCCCTTGTTGTCATTGCTGTGCTCGAATACTCATGAAATTGAAGTGATAATTCGGATTTTATCAGCATTTAACTTGATTTTCCTCTTTCCTAATGGTCCTCATGTCCTACCTGCTCATCCTTGTAACCATTCTCAGGATGAACTCCGTGGAGGGCAGGCGCAAGGCCTTCTCCACCTGTGGGTCCCACCTGACCGTGGTCACAGTGTTCTACAGAACTTTGATATTTATGTACGTGCAGCCCAAGGACAGTCACTCCAGTGACACCGGCAAAGTGGCTTCCATATTTTATGTGTTAATCATTTCAATGTTGAATCCATTGATCTATAGTTTGAAGAACAAAGATGTAAGCTATGCTCTCCATAGGACATGGAAAAAGATATGCAATGTTTTTCTATAAAATATATGTGTAGTATGAGTCTTACAAATCAAGTTTGAATGAGAGGCCATGTTGATTTCTTCTAGAATTAACTGGATGAGTGACTTTAGTGCATGTTGAATGATTGCCTTTCTTGGTACTAATTAAACTTCTCAATGGTTAAAACAAAATTAGTGAAGAAAACAATAAAAGACTGCCTCCTTTGTAGAAGAGAAATGATTGACACAAACTTGGTAATTGAAGAAATGTCATAGTACTGTAAAACAGGTTTAGGCTATGTGGACCCCAGTGCAAAGACTGAGAGTGCCTTTGCTGAGTTACAGAGTAAGTACAGTGAGGAGGACTTAAATGCTGGCTTTGCTCTTCTCAGCCATTGCCGGGACCGTCCTTTGAAATGTTTTCTTTCATCTGTCTGTGTGTTTCTAGTTTTGCAGGCTCTATCACATCTGCAGATTGTGTTACTATCATACTTGACACTGGGCTCAGGATGTCATGCAATGACTGAGGCAATCAGTCATAAGAATTCACTCAGCTGTTATTATTTCCTGTGGTACACTTAGGGCCACCTTAGTTCATATCAGTACCCTACTTTCTTAGAAGTGCTCAAGAAAGTCTACTAATGCAACATATCTACATGTCAGGCAACCTATAGCTTGAATATAAAATATAATTTTGTTCAAATGAGTTGTTTTTATAATAGTGAATAGACAAATTAAGATAATTTTCTTGAGGTTTGCCATGTAAGCCTCTGGGCTTTCTTATTTATTTATTTTCCTTATTGGCTTGTTCTTTATCCTTTAAAACTCACTTTTCTTTGATCATTGTTTCTTCTTTCCTAGCTCTCTAAGTGAAAAAAATAACAATAGTGATTTCTAGTTCTTGTATAAGAGGATTATCTTATTATGAAGTAGGTTTATTGATTTTCTTTTTGACTGAATTTACTCACATTTGATTTGTATGACAGTGTCCAATTCTTTGGGTTATATTCCACTCTTTGAGTGGCTCTATTATATAATTCAACTTCTAAAAAGCAAAGAGTGATAATCTTACTAATGTAAGTAATATATTATTACATGTATTGAAGTGTATATTTGTCTTATCTAAACACTTATTCCATATACTATATTTTATTCTCCATGTATTTTTCAAAATTTATACCATTCAATACTCTTAGGACTATAATTGTGCCATGGAGAAACTATTCTGTTTTTGTAGTACAGCGTCATGGAATAAAATTATCCATGTAGAAAATTCACACAAATAAAAATAAGTGTTTGGAATAATAAACTCCTGTATATGTTGTCATGCTTAGGTACATGTTACTGAAAAGTTAATTCTGTTGGTCATTTGATTATGATAAAAATTTGTAATCAAATTTAATTTATCTATCCATATGTGTGAAAATATTATAATTCCTTAGCAAATAAATATTTGGAATGAACAAAGTGGAACGTTAATATCAATAATTGTTGGTCATAAATTATTGAAAATTTATAAATTATTGTATTTTTAAATTACATTTTCCAAATTAATTTCATAGATTATAAATTATACAGTAAAGGTGAAGTTTTCTAGCATGTAAGTTTCTAAAATTATAACATGAATTAATTTAATCCATTGTTCCACTTGTGTTAAAGTCTCAATAGTACTAGTAATCCTTCGACTACTGCAACAAAAACAGAAAAAAAGGGTGTCGCAGTTTACAATTATATAAGAGCTTTCTTTCGTTTTGAAAGTTAGTCTGCACTGCACTGCCAAATGATTTTATAAGCCTTTTCAAAATGTTTCATATTTCATTAATAAAATATGTTTGAAAAGCAGGAATTGTAAATTGAAACAATCATTGCTAGTATAATTCGTCAGTAGGGATGAATGCTGTGTACAGTCACAACTCAGAAAACCCAGTGCAGTTTAGAATACAATATACAAAAAAGTAGGCATTTCCTATACAATAGCAATCCATAATTAAGAATAAGATCATACTCTTGGTATATAATATTTTGTGCACAGACACATACACAAAAAAACTCCTAGGAAAAGAAATCTTGGTTGGGTAGAATCTCAAAATGTACATTTTAATTAAACATAACTGTCTTGCTCTATTTTAAAATCAGGTTCAAGTGGCTTTATTTGTGAAATTAATTTGATATTTATGGGGAAAGTATTAACTAATTTTTAGGAATTATTCCAGTAACATAAAGAGATGTCAGTATTGGGGTACTATTACTCAATATAAGAGCACATAAAGATATTACATATTGGCAGACTCTAAACAAAACATTAGTTGGTGACACTAGCAATATACAAAAAAATTAATATATAAATGGTGATTTTGAGCAATCAATCAATATTTGATTTTCTATTCAAAAATCATGATTCCTTTCAGCATATCAAGACTGGCAAAGAAATACATATATATGAAGATATAGATATATCTCATGTCTACATGTGAAAAATTTTTTAGAAGTTCTCACCAAAATTCTTACAACAGATAATATTCTCCCCTTTCTTTTCCTTTCCTTTATCTTTACTTATAGTTTTATTTCATTACAATCCCCATTTTCTTCTCCAAGAGTTGATTTTATTTTTTAGTTCCAAAAAAAGATCTCCTTAACAACAGAATTCTATGCAGTATAATAAATTTTAATAGTCACCTTAAACTTCTATGAGAAGAACATTCTTTCCCGTTTATATATTCTTAAAAGAGTGTCCCTGATTTGTTTGAGCAAGTTTCTCCACTTCATGGCCACTGATGCTTATTATCTACACATACCACAGAAATTCAAATGAGGACTGCTCTTGGGTGAGAATGTGTGTGTGCCAACCTTAGAGCTAAGACAGTTCTGTTAGTGGACAAAATTTACTACTTGAAGAAGTTTTCGGACTGACTCCTAGGTTCTGTTCGGTTCCCACCTTGTCTCAATATCCCCTTCCTTTGTTTGAAAACCAAATAAATATGGGCTGTCTGGTGGAGCTCTTTGTCTTTACTCCTGGGAGTGGGAGAGGGAGAGGGAGGGGGAGAGGGAGGGGGAGAGGGAGGGGGAGGGAGAGAGTTCTGACCTTCCTGGAAGCCCCAGATATTACCCCATTGGTCTTTTTTATTTCAGCCATTCACTGCCCGCTAGTTTAGGGGATTGCGGTTAGGCCAAGACCCTGATAACTACTTCATTCTTCTTTAAATGCTTGCAATGACATGTTGTATATGATGATAATATTTAGACAAATTATGTGTACAAGATCATATAATAGGCTAAGGTAAACTATAAAAGAGATATATAAACATACATATATCCACCTTTTATTTATTCTTATAACAATAATTCCCAGTATAATCTGCTAGTTTCCTTATTCACACATCTGTTCAATCTCTGTGAACTGCTTTAACATTTTCAACTGGACTACTTATACCTGTAAGGGCTTTGTAGTTTTATATTTGGAAGTAGACTTACAGTCAATGTTGAAATTTATCATTAGAAATTATATAGATATCATATGTATTAGGCCATTCAATAAATGTAATATTGAGTTCCACTACATGAGTACAGTTAAATGAATTGCAAAGAGGAAATGTAAAATACGCCATAAAATTATCTGTTTATCCAGAACTTTGAATTTCTACAATGTTTAATATTTAATGATTTTATCTCATTTAAATATCTTAACCCACCTATATTTCTATTTAACTTTCTACCTATCAGGGTATCAGAAACTTATAAAGATGGATATCTGGGGATGGATAATGTTTGGAACAGACATTGGATATAATGAGATGTTTATATGCTTAAATAGCTAATAGCAATTAGCAGTGATAACTCATTTCCCATCTAAACTAGCGGGCAATCAAAATGACTAGACAGGGAAAATATTTTCTACATGTAGAAGCTCCTTATATGAAAAATACTCTTCTATATAGTGTATGTCTCTATTTGAATATACACCATGCTTTTAAAGATGAGTTTATTTTCAAACAATTTACACCAGAGATTTTAGCTATGTCTTACTGACACAAGTTTGTATGATAAATTCTCCCAGGTGAAAATGTTTGAACTCTATTGACTATGTTGAAAATTCTATCAAGAATCATTTTTATGGAAAGCCATAATCTCACAGTGGTGACTCAATTCATTCTGCTGGGCATCACAGACCGTCCCGAGCTGCAGCCTCCACAGTTTGTGCTGTTCCTCGTCATCTACCTGACCTCGCTGGTGGGCAACGTGGGCATGATCGTCCTCACCCAGGTGGCCTCTGGGCTGCAAACACCCATGTACTTTTTCCTCAGACACCTGGCTCTCACTGATCTCAGTTATTCTACTGGTGTGAGACCAAAAATGTTGGATAATTTTGTGGTGGAATAAAATACAATCTCCTATCATGGTTGTGCCACATGGCTGGCTTCCATAGCTGTGTTTCCTGGGAGTGAGCTTTTTATTCTGTCTGCCACGTCCTAGGACCACTACTTGGCCATCTGTGAACCTGTGCTGCACACTGACATCATGCCCCCAAGAGTATGTTGGGTTCTAGTGGCGATTCCCTATCTCTACAGTGTATTTGTGTCTCTCCTAACTACCATAAAGATTTTCACTTTGCCCTTTTGTGGCCACCGTGTTATTAGTCATTTATTCTGTGACCCTCTTCGCTTGTTGTCTTTACTCTGCTCAAATACTTATGACTTTGAGGTGATAATTCTGAGTGTATCTGCTTTTGACTTGATTTTCTCTCTTCTGGTCATCCTTGTATCTTCCCTGCTCATCTTCATAGCCATTCTCATGATGAATTCCCTGGAGGGCAGGCACAAGGCCTTCTCCACCTGTGGGTCCCACCTGACCATTGGCACAGTGTTCTATGGGACTCTGCTCTTTATGTAAATTCAGCCCAAGTCCAGTCACTCCATTGCCAATAATAAAGTGGCTTCTCTATTTTATTCTCTGATTATTCCAATGTTGAACCCATTGATCTACAGCTTGAGGAACAAAGATGTAAAATATGTTCTTCATAGGACATGCAATAAGATGTGTATTATT